TTTTTTTAATCGTGAACAAATTTTGAAAAAACTGGTTCTGAGCAATGTTTTTTAGTTGTGATTTTTTTCAAAATGTAAATAAAACAATTTTTGAAACACATGAAAAAATTGACGCCCTTCGCCTCCATGAGCTATGCCGTTCGAGCTACACCGCTAGAAATTCATACACACACAGATAATCATGAACGACCACACGTGACGCCCAACCTATAGCCGAATAACCCCGCCGGCGCCACAAACAAACGTCGTTCGTGGTGTTCTAGAGGAAAACAACCGCCACACCACCATCGCAAACAAAGTGGTCAGCATGGGATTTTAAGGGAGTGCCCAACTCGACCGGCAACAAGCCTGATCTGCCTCCGAGATCATCCCAAATATGATACCAACTCTCACACCCCTTGCCATCAAGAGATCGTGACATCAGCCAACACACATAGCTGCACAAAATTTGAATTAAATCAAGAACAGAGAGTAGAATAAAAATGCAAGAGGTAGGAGGAACAAGTTTTTTCCCTTCATTTCTTTTCTGCATTGTTCTTTTGTACGTACGACCTAGTCATATGCCAAAATCGGCTTACAGTTGGACCCCAATTGAACACCCTTAAAGTGTTTTAGGTTTCGCAGCGCCCATGTTCCTCCTTGCATAGTATGCCAAGGGTTTTCCCCTCATCTTGCATTAGGATTTCGATGCACGCCATGAGGCCGCTAACTGCTTTCTTCCCGAGGAAGCCTTGCATAGTACAACATGTTTTTTTGTCAGTTTATCCTTGCCCCTTTCAGATTGTTCTTGTCTTCATGTCATTACTGTAATCGCCTACTTTGCCGAGTTTCAAGGGAACTCAGCAGCGCATTTGCCGAGTTCCACCCTCGACGAATAGACTCGGTTGATTGGGTCGACAATCATTAATATTGTCGACTTCTTTTTATCGGGAGCTCGGCAAAATGTCATGTAACTACTGCCAAGTATGTAAAAGGTAGAATTCGTCAAACTGAGGGTGACAGACGGGATGTACCGTTAATGATGATGCCACGTGACACGCATGCTTGCAAAGTTCTTTTTGTCGCCAAGTTTGTTTTAGGCACTGGGAAATGATGATGTTTGCCGAGTTGTTCAATACTACCGAGTTTTATTATTGGTGTACACAACATATGTCTTCCACTACCGATCACCCGATAAAAGAAACTCGACAAACCTTGAGAACTTGGCAAACACAATTCCAGTAGTGTGTCTAGAGTGTTGGATATTTCGAACTACTCCCTCCGCCCAAAAATACTTGTCGCTCAAACAGAACGACACTGAAGTAGCAGTATTTTAGATTAAAAAGGAGTCAAATACACCACCGATGCTTAAACTTTGCGAGGAAAATTACTTTAGTACCAAAACTAGCGGCATACATTAAACTGGTGCCATAACTTGGCTCATCGTGCAAATAAGATGTAAAACTCGTTTGTATACGCATGTGGCACTGCCGAGGCATGACAGTGTGACGTGGGGGGCTCATTTTCGGTATCAGGCGATGTAGACCAGGTGTGTGGCGTGTTTTTTTGCAAAAACACCCCTGACTTTTATTTTTCATGCAAAAAGTAAACCTGACAGTTGCGGGACCTGCCTGTCAGCGAAAACGCACAAGTTTTGTTAGAATGAAAAATTACATGCTCGAGGAATCAAACCACGACCAAAAGCAAACTGATGCGCACAGCTAGCCAACCACCACGATAACGCTTGATGTCCTATAAGCATACTCAGTCCTTATATTAAGAACATAAATTAAGAGTTTTAATTCCAGCAAAAAAGATGCGGTCATGAGGGTTAAAACACGGGGCCCGAGGCACACAAGCTGACGGGCCTGCCACCCCAACAAAGGCATTTTAGTATCTACATCGGATTGTTGCCTTTTATGTCTAGCCCATGGGCGAAAATGGACTGCCGTTAGTGCGGCCCATTTTCAACATGTGTTTTGTTTTTCTTTTATTTTGGAAAATTGTAAAAAATACGAGAATCCTAATTATAAATAATATACATATAATTGTACATACATCTTCATTTGAAAATCTGTAGATGACACATTAGGTTCATATTTTTCCCATACATATATTTGTTTTTATTTAATTTATTTTTCAAAACACACAAACTTTATCAAAACACATAAAAACTTTTAAAGCAAAATTTTAAAAAATATAGCATGAAATTTTTATATACTAATGAATATTTTATTAAAAAACTTGTAAAATTTTGAACTTACAAATACTCCATCCGTCCCAAAATTCTTGTCTTACATTTGTCTAGATACGGATGTATCAACTCCCTCCGTTCCAAAATTCTTGTCTTGCATTTTTTTAGATACGGATGTATCAACTCACATTTTAGTATTAGATACATCCGTATCTAGACAAATGTAAGACAAGAATTTTGGGATGGAGGGAGTATATATATAATTACTTTAGTATTTCTATCTAATATGCAAACACTTTCTAAATTTATACAAACATTTGTATAAGGGGTAATCAAATTTTATGGATTTTTGTGTAATTTATTTTACTTATATGTATATTATTTTTTAATTAGTATTTCAATTATTTTCACAAATTTCTGAAAATGAAAAAACACAATGTGTTTTAGCCCATGAGTGTGGTGTATCAGTGAGAAAATGGATAAAAATCGCAACAAAGATTAAATGAATGTGGATGCAGTGGCCAGCTCGTCTTATTTTTTGCCCAAGTCGTGGGCTCAAACCCCACGACAGATTTTTTGCAATTATTAAATTCTTAATTTATGTTGTTTATGAAAAAAGAAATAAGAAATGTGTATCCACCTAGGTCATCAAATGGTGTCGATGTAGGGTAACTAGCCGAGTGAGCGGGATGACTCGGAGTCGCCAGCTTGAATCTTCGAGGGTGCAATTTTTCATTCTAATGTGAAATTTGTGATGTTTCCCTGACAGGTTGGTTCTGCGCCTGTCATGGTCTTTCCCACGCGGGGAAAAAATCGACGGAGTTTTTGCAAAAACAACACGCCACAGCCCTAGTCTACACCAGGAGGTCACTGACAATGGGCCCCACGCCACGCTGTCACGTCTCGTCAGCTCCGCATGCGTATTCGAACGAGTTTTGCACTGTATTTGCGCATCCAAGCCTAGTTGTGACACCAGTTCAATGTATGCGCAAATTTTGTCACTAAAGTGATTTTCTTTTTACCAAGTTTAAGCACCGGTGGTGTAATTGACCCATTCAAAAGTTACGTAGTCATACATATATGTGTTGGTGTCGTCAGGGGCGGAGCCAGAAAATTTTGCCATTGGGTTCACTCATTGACTTGGTGTCATAATTTGATACAAGTTAACTACGTGTAAAATCTCATATCCAACATCTTACAACAAGAGTATAGCACTAAAAGATAACATCACGAATAAGGGCACGAAGTACCGCATTTAATGCACTTTGCCTACGGCCCATGGGTGGCCTTGAATTATCACATCATTATCCGGATCCTCGAGGAAACCCTTGACCCTGTGTGATAGGACGATGACGGTGCCTTGGTGTCGTATTCATCTTGGAGGGCTTCATTTTTGGAGTTGGGCATTGCCGAGTGCAGTGGAAGGCGACAGTGTTGGCGTTGAGGCCTATGTGGCAATGACGGCGGGAGGAGCGATGTCGGAGATGTGGCAAATGGTTGAGGTAGTCAGCTCTTCTTCGGCATGTCAGTAGGATTGCCTCGGCTTGTTTGTTTATGTGAAGTCGAATCTGCGGTGGTGGGGTCCTGATGGCATACCATGATGGACAACAACTGGTCCGCTTAGTGATCTTCCTCGGCACTAGCCTTGCCTAGTTCTCTTTCGTTGTTCTTCTTTAGAGTCGGAGATTGCGATGTCCTGTCGCAGGTCACTGAGTTCTAGAGTGATTTTTCGTATGACTCCACATGGCCTTTACAATGTGGGTTGGATCGACAGGTGTCTTTGGTGAAGACCAAGTTGTTTTTCAAGGTTTACCAATGGCAATGTCGTCTTCTAGGGGAGTAGTTATGACGATGATGCCTGTGTGTTGTGTTGACAAGGCCTTATTTGAAGAAGTGTGTGTGGGATATTTGTGTGTGCCGCTCAACGGTTTGTGACGGCTTTCATCTGGGTTTTTTCTCTAATTAATTGAATAACTCTCATGTACTTAATTAATGGTTAAGGCAAAAAAAATGCCTCCTTTTCAAAAAAATTAAAACCGGATCTATACCATACGTGACAAGGAAAACGTTCAGTTGAACCCAATGCCAATACGCTGGCTGTCGTTCACAAAGTCCAAGTCGTAGTCATGTTGGACGCCGAGTCGGCTAGTCCTAGTCGATGTAATCTGTTCTATCTATAAATTAAATATAAAGGAAAGGAAAACTTTGAACTTTTGAAGCCCACGTAGGCGTGAAGGAAGAAAAGGAAATCGCGTGTACGTGAGTTGCGGCCGTCCGGCGAAATCGGTTGTTAGTTGAGCTTTCCCTGCGTATAGTCGATCTAGCAGCCAAGCTTTGATCCAGCTTTGCGAGCGTACGTACCTCGCTGGAAGACGGGGCGGCAGGCTGTCTCGTCAACGTCGAGGCTGCACCAACACATAGGCTCTCTCCGTCCATTCTCCAGAGTAGAGTAATTCCCTTCAGTTGGTCTCTATCTGCTTTTCCTCTTATTCTTTTCTAGGAACACTTTTCCAAGCTTGGACGCATCGTACTAAACGTTTGCTTCTTCTTCTTCCTCCTCTTTTCTTTTTCCCAGCGAGAAATCAGTATGCTCGGCGTCGGCTCGACCGTCTTGGACGACCTGCCCGAGTGGCTCGTCGTCGATGAGATCCTTGTCCGCTTGCCTGTCAAAGATGTACTCCGCTGCCGCGCCGTCCGCAAGTCATGGCACAGCGGCACTTCCACCGACGCGTTCATCCTTGGCCACCACCGCCGCCAGCACTCGCTCCCCATCATCAAACCCCTAAAGGACATCTGCCGTGTCGTCGGAGCCTCCAATGATCTAAAGATGCAACCCGTCCTCCAATACGCATCCGCTACCATTGTACACCACGCCATCTGTGATGGCCTCCTTATCTTATCGCGGCAATCCCATTACTACATCTGCAACCCGGCCACCCACAAGTGGGCGTCCATGCCACATCCTCCTCAACGACAACCAAACACCATGGCCGTCAGCCTAGTCGGCTTCTATCGGCACCACCCATCTGGAGAACACCGAGTGCTATGGGTGTCATACCCAATAAACGCCGCCGCCAAGGGCGATGTAGCAGTTGAGTTGCTTGAGTACTTCGTCCTCACAGTGGGATCGGACCAGCCAAGATGCATCCAATGGCCAGCAGTTTCAGAACAAAGGTTTGTTCCTGCTATCTGGTCCTACCAATGCCCACCAATCCTCCATCGTGGTAACCTGCATTGGCTAATGGATTTCAACATAACGGTATTTGACACCATAGCTGAGACATTCCGACAAATGAGCCGCCCAGCACAACTGGGCGATTATGTGTCATTGTTGGATACGGGCAACACCCTTGCTTTGTGTCGCACTGATCATAACTGTGTCACTTTAGATGTTTGGGTGTTGCGGGACTATGATGCCGAGATGTGGATCTTTCAATACCAGATTAACTTGTTAGTGATGGAGGTATCACCACCGCTTAATTTGAAGGGGATAGAGATTCCTAAAATGGCTATGATCAACGAGCGTGAGCTATTGATTGAGCAGTGTCCTTGCCGTCTTTTGCATTGCGACATTGATGGTGTGCTTTTAGGCAATGTAGAAAGCAAAGAGCACGGGAACTTCTTGACACTTACTAGGCATTGCCTCCAAGAGAGCATGATTTCGCTCCCATTGTTTGAGACACAAAAGGAAGCTATGAACAAGGAGCCTCCATTCGCCTTTGTGCTATAAGATGCCATGCTCCATCTTAATGCTTTGGACTACTTGATTGCTGTGCGCTTGAAGAGTATCTTTTTTTTTGTCCAGTCATGTCATGTCTACGTTTTGGTACTTCTAGAAGGACTGAACAGTTTGGATGACGGAATCATTTGGTGCTTGTAAATTTTCATGCTACCTTAAGCATCATGTTGATGGTGTAAACAATGGAGTATCTATGCCATAGAACTGTTTTCCCCATGATTACTTTCAGTTTGCATGTTAAAAAAGCACAAAAGGCATGGTGACAATTTGTGCCCACAGGGATATTTTTTGGCAGGAGTAAGTCACAAGATGTGCAATCTTAATCACCTTGTTGTAGTCTGCTGGAGGGCTGGTGATATTGTAGTTAGCTAGGCTGCTGTTAGCTAGTGTTATTTTAGTGTATGGTTGTGGTCTTTTGCTTTTATTGTTAGTGACTTTTTTACCGATATATCTGTTGGCGCCTGAGCAGGGCTCCGCTGTCAGGCTGTTACGGTCATACTAGCCATGCATGTCCTGTGCCATATTATCACAGGTATTATGTTGTTAATTATTGTTTCATATCAGGGGATGTAGCTCAGATGGTAGAGCGCTTGCTTAGCACGCGAGAGGTATGGGGATTGATACCCCACTTCTCCAATTCTTTTTTGCAGATCTGAATATACTGTGAAAAAACACTCCTCTTACCAATCAGTCGAGTTCTCTCATTTGTTATTATTAGTAAGCGTGCACGTGCAGCGCACGTATCCTAATCTTGTACTACAATAAAAACATAAACTCCGTCTTATGATTTTACCTGGACATTTAAATACGTGTCACGGACAATGATTTCAATGTCTTAATTTATTTTAGATCAAGTCATTGGTCCTGTTTGACCGGTGAAAGACTTTCATTGTTGAAATGTTGTGATCCCAAAATTCCGAAAATAAAATGAAAAAAATCGCGCATGTAACACACAACCAAAACACATGTCTTCACATAGAAATAAATGATCACATAAATATATTGTAATTGTTACTTACTACAAAATACTTAAAAATAACAACTAAGCAACATTATCTAGTACTCATTATTTGATGATGATCCTCTCTGGAAGGTCCATCTTTTGATACGATCTATAATGGTTTGTTCTAAGACTGGGATATTGTTTAGAACTTCATTCTCTTCATACTTCAAAATATGAACCAAAAATCGCTTCTCAGTTCAAAACCATCCTGCATATGCATTATATAACATTGTTATTGAAAAAACATGAGTAACGTGTGTAGAAATGAGCATGGTGGCAATACATACCTTGGGTACCAGAAAATGTAGCGTCCCATCGTGCCATGAGTGCATTAAATTGAAAACCAAATAACCAGACAAGGGACTGCATGTATGAAATGTTACATGCGAATTGAATGAATCAATTAAGATTGTGATGTATTGACAAGATTCTTACCCGTATGAGTTTGTGGGAACATCAGGAACTTTGCATCCCCATATCAAAATGTCATCCTTGAAGGCAGGGTTTGCAGCTTGGATTGCAAGGTTTAGATCATTGACCATAGTTTCAAATATATGCTTTCTGAAAGTAGGTATTGAAAGCAGGTCCAAAATAGAAACAACCTTTTTATGTTGGTCCAAGACGAACAATAAAAATAACCCAAGAATATCACAAGGCAATAAAATCTACAATGATGCATGCATTTAGAAATACATCAATCATTATCATTCATTAAAACTAAATAAACAATAATTTTGAATTCAAATCTTACCATATCACATTATGACACAACACGAAATAATTAGTATCATGATACGATGCAAGATATACCTGTTCGGGAGTGTCGGACAAACTATCTCCCGTGAAGTACTCCATGTAATCTAACAGCCAGAGACCACAAGATGACCTGGATGATAGGAATATTGATATGATTAATAACAAAGATATTAATAAAAAAATATTAGTATTATAAAATGATGATGATGATGATTGAACCACATAGTCATACTGGAGATGTGGTGCTTCTTGCAGTGAGTTGAGCACTTGAGTTTTGTTATTCTGCTTAGAGTTTTAGTTCATCAGCAGAGACTGAATTTTGTGTTTTCACATAGATAGAATTCTGAACATTTTGTGTTTTTTCTTTTTTATATTCTTATCTAAACTTGTTTCAGCACCTGTTGCGCATGAAAACCCAAACCAGTCCAAGATTTTTCTGCTAATTCAGCCCACACGGCGCTGCGGTATGCGGATGTCGATGCAGAGTAGAGAGACGCCGCCCTAGAAGTCGCCTTCCTGTCCACCTCTTCAGAAGTGTCCCTGCCACTACAACACGGATAAGGTTACGAGGCATAATAAAATGCCTCTGTATGAGTTGAAAACGCCTTCAATTCTCTTTCGAGGCATTTACCAAAAACGCTAGAGTTGATCACGAAGGGAAAGAGCAACGAAGGCATTTACAATAACGCCTCCAAAGGTGTTTCATCCACGGCGTTTTTAAGAAACGCCTCGGAAGCTCCCTGGCAATTTCAGATAGCGCCGCTAAGTGTAAAAAACTCATCAGCCGTTTTCCATGTACACCCCTCCCGCCATGGGCCCCGCCCACTACCAGGCTGGCTAGCTGCTTATTATTCTAAAGCTGGGCCTCTAACACCTAGATCCTAATCTGATCTGCACTGGTAGGGATCGGACTGGACGATTAATTGAAAACTATGCTATATATCCTCTCAGCTGGATGTCTAAGTAGTTGTGGAACTGTGCACACATTTCTCCCTTTTAAACACGTCCGACTCTTGTTGGCTAAGCGGTATGGGACTAAATTAATCGGTTGTGTAGAAAGCTCAGCCGGGAACGAAAAATCTTAATTAATTGGCAATAACATGATTCGAACCAGGACCGATCGCTGCTAGCCTCACATTCACGACCAGTAGAACTAATGCGAAGTTGTGATTTACTACGGAATCAATATCATAAATACTATCGAAGATTTCGTTGTCATCAACCTCCAGCCGCTGCTGTCGCTAACGTCCCCAGTCCCCACCAGGAACTTTCACGCCACCTTAGACAAGTGAACAATTCTTCAGTTCCCTGGAGCCTTGCAGTAGTCAGATTCTTTCGAACCAAATTCCACAGAATCTGCAGACTAGCATTGTCCCCCGATCAAAAATCATTATGCAGCTCATCTCCGATATGCCAATGATCTCATCGGCGGCGGATTGAACGACGACGGCCAAGCAGCACAGCCCAGAGAGAGACTCATGCAAGCTTGAACACTGACGGTCGCGCTGCAGCAGTACAGCAACCCGCATCAACCGCAGTATGTGACCAGTTTGCCGCTGCCGGCCCTGCCACGCTGCATCAATCAAAGGCATTTTGCTAATACGCCTCCAAATCTGCAACAATCCAAGGCGTTTTCCAAAAGTGCCTCCAAAGCTACATCAACCAAGGCACTTTTCCGTAACGCCTTCAAAGCTGCATCAATCTGAGGCATTTTTCTAAAACGCCACCTCTAGGCACAATTTTGAGGCATTTACAAAGTGCCCTTATAAAAATGCCTTCAATTAACAACCGTGGTGTAGTGTGCCTCGGGCACAATAGCATTAGAAGCCAGTTCCTTTTGTTGAGATATGGGTTCAGAAAAACCCAGCATGCAGTTCTTGTGTTTCTGCAAGCTAGGCTTGGTTTCATCTTTCTGACAGTATATGAACCTATTTGCTTAGGCATCACGGTTCTAAAATTCTGAAATTGTTTGACCATGATACATGCCATTAGTCTGTAAAAATGCGTTGACAATGGCCACTACTTGAACATTGCTAGCTGCATCTCTGTTAGATGGTGTCGGTACAGATGTGGTGGTTCTTGCACTGAGTTGGGAACTTGAGTTTTGTTGTTCTGTTTCAGTCTATCAAAACAATGTAGAGAATGTGCTGTGGAACAGAACCTGAATTTTGTCCACGCGTTACCCGAAACAATTACCGTAGGCTAAAAAACATAAATCATTATCTTCTCTGTGAAGCTGAACTAGGCAGACTGAACTGGTTTGGGTTTTCAAGTTCTGAAGTATTCCACTAGCTACCGGCATATATATGGTATTAAATTGAAGAACTGGATCTTGTGAATCAAAGCACAGTAGAATGGAAACCAATTGTTTCCATATCAAGGTTCAGTGTGGATTTTAGCATTTATCCATAAATCCAACAGTCACAATGTCGTGCCTGTTGACCACCTACTGATTTGTTTTGATTTAAAAAACTTTTACTAGTTAGTGTCTGTAACCCTACAGCACTTCAGACCATTTCCAAGTCTGAATTCGTAACTGAAACAGATTAGTAAAAGTTTCAGACTAGACCGGTTTCAGTGAAGTATTTTCAGACTAGCAGAGTAGTTTCAAACACCCAAAAATTTGCAGCACATGCAGATTGGCACTCATCTGAACTGAAACTCAAAATATTCGAAAACCTTATTGAAAAAAAATATTTTTTAGAAATTTGTGAAGAGGTTTTGAATTCTGAACAATTTTTATTGAATAGTGAACAAATTTATGCAAGGCAGTTTTTTTAAAACAAGAACAGTTTTAGAAAGCATGAACAAGTTTTTTTTGCAAAAGATGTGAAACTTTCCTAAAATTGCGAACTGTTTTGAATTCCGAACAATATTTTTGAATCGTGCACAAATTTTTAAAAAGTGAACAAAATTCGCAAAACCTGAATCTTCTTTTCAAAAAATGTGACCATTTTTTAAAATTGCAAACAAATTTCAAACTCTGAGAATTTTATTAATTGTAATTTTATTAAAAGTGAACAAATTTTGGAAAGCGTGATTTTTTCTTCAAAATTGAACATTTTTTGAAATTGCGAATATTTTTTGAATTTTGTACATTTTTCTTGAATTGTGAACTAATTTTGAAAAACTTGGTTCCATACAATGTTTTTTAATTGTGAACAAATTTTCAAAATGTGAATAAATTTGGAAAACATGAACAATTTTCGACTCACATGAATAAAATTGATCT